AATAAAACACATAAATGTAAAGCTGCTCTGAAAGTAGTTAACCTAATTCTCTCTTTACTTCCCAACCTCTGCACAATCTTTGAAATCTTTCTGCAAATTCTAGGGCTGTTTGGCGAAAAGGTTGAAAACAGTTCCTCAAAACTAGCATTACAACAAAAATTATACAGCTTAAATATTTAAATATTAAATATTAAAACAAAAATATACAGCTTATTAAAAGACTATTACTTAGCTAATTAGATTATTCAGGTAACCAAAATGCTTCCAATCCTTATCAACTACTAATCTGAAATGCCATCAAATTTATTTATTTAAATAATGAAAAAATTAAAACATCTGGCTAAACTGGATATTTTATTGAATCTTAGTTATTTTAACTATACAATCTTGATTACTTTAAATTATCCTAAGTAGAATGTATTCAATACACAAAAGTCTGAATGAAGTGAAAAAATGATTCTCTAAAGGGATAATTAAAAAGTGGTCAGTCTGATAAATGATAAATAAGTTATAGAAATTTCTGAATCTCATTTATAGTGATTTTAAATGTATCACAATAAGAAGGTCTGTTATCACTGGGATGAAGCCTCCCAGAATCTGAGCCATTAGACATTATGGAGGGAGAATGCCAAGAGATGTCCAGCCCAACAAGCTGGTCTATCTAGTCACATTATCTAATCTTGTAGGGGTAAAAAATGGGAACACAGAAACAATCAAGCCAAATCTCCTTATTTCCCCTTTCAGTGCTATCATCTTTCCCACCAATGACAGAGACAATAAGCAAACATTTGAATAAAGTAGGTTCCTACTCACAACTTTTGTTTTAGACACAAGTAGAAATAAAAAGTAAATAAAACTATATGCTGGCCTAGAAATAAAAAGTAAATAAAACTATATGCTGGCCTGACAATATTTTCTAAGTGTAAGTGACAGAGATCTGTAAGAAACCTAGACAAGGGTTTTTAGAAAGAACCTAAATATTTCTACATATATAAGAGATTTAGTAAACACTCTGTGAAAAGAATAAACCTTCATTTCATGATAAGTAAAAACTGAATAACAAGGAACTTGCTAACTTAGGAAGTCCTTCTCCCAAATGCAATGTGTGTAGGTTCAAATTGAATACTGGCAGAAGGAAACTATCCCTTTGCACATACTATTAGAAACAACATTTCTGATCCACATGATAGAGAGGAATAGAGCTTAAGCTTTAACTCCTGTTTGTCATTTCTCTCTCTCACCCTCCCCCCTTTAAGGTACTTTGATGGCATTTCACACTTATAGCAACAGAAGTAGAGGTCAAAGACCTTTCTGACTATTGTTATTTTCTATTCATCAGCACCTTGCCACCATATTTTCCCCATTTTCACTTTTATAATTACCAATATTTTAAATTGATTTATATACTTGTTTCCTATCTGTTCCTCCTTCTCCCATTAGAATATTCATTTCATGAAGGTAGGAAATTAGTCTGTTTTGTTTACCAACCCTTAAAATTATGCCTGGCAAATTGATATGTTTTAGTCACATTTGAATGAGTGAATGAAGGAATGAATGAGCATACAAATGAACAAATTTATTTCTAGACCACTCTGACTCCTCCTTTTTCAAGATTCTCATTCATGAATGTATTGATTTTGCAAGTACTCTGGAAATTTAAGTGGGTATTTCTGGATGGTGACTGGATACTGGACATGTAGTTTCATGGAAGCAGGAGCTGAGAGAGAACTATAGAATACAGAAATGCAGGCATTTAACTCTTCTACAACATCAAAAGACTATAATACAGTCACTGCTCCAAAGACTAGAGAACTTATTTGCAAAATTATTAGGATTATGACCAGCGTGGTAACATACTCCTTTAATCCCAGAGATTCGAGAAGCTGAGGCAGGAGGAATCCAAGTTTGAGACCAGCCTCAACTACTTGGAGAGACCCTGTCTTCCAAAAAAAGAATGAGAAAAAAAGCCTGGGGATGTAATTGAGTGGTAGACTGTTCCTGAGCTCAACCCACAACACCAGCCTGCCCGCCCCCAGAAAAAAAGGAAAAAAAATTACCATGAGTCATTCCCCAAAAAGAGTTTTATTAAACAGATCGCTTCATTGGGGGGAGGGGAAACAGATTTTAAAAAGAGGATTTCTTTTTTTTTAAATATTTTTTTTTAGTTGTTGATGGACCTTTATTTTTTATTTGCTAATTTATACGTGGTGCTGGGTATCGAATGCAGTGCCTCACACGTAGGAGGCAAGCGCCCTACTGCTGAGCCACAACTCCAGCCCCTAAAAATGGGATTTTAAACATATAGTAACTTCCATATGTGCATATATAGTATGGATATGGTTTTCAATAAAAATTTAAGATTTAATAAATGTTGCAAGGCTCCCGTATTTAACCACTTAAAGCTATACTATACATAAAGTAAATTTAAATCATACTATAGCCCTAAATACAGAAAGAACTGATAATAAATACTGATATTTAAAATGTTGTGATTTAGCAAATAAGACATAAAAATCAAATCCTAATTCTAGATTCCTAACGCATTCTGAAATATTACATTCAAGAATATGACATAAGGCTGGGGATATAGATCAATGGTAGAGCACTTGTCTAGCATGCACAAGATCCTGGGTTCAATCCCTGGTACTGCAAAAAAACAAAAACAAAAACAAATAAGAATATGACAGCTGGGTGCAGAGAAACACATCTGTAATACAGTGGCTCAGGAGCCTGAGGCAGGAAGATTTCGCATTCAAAGCCAGCCTCAGCAAAAATGAGGCACTAATTTACTCCAATAACTCTACATGATATATAATATTTTACTAAAATCTGAACTGATAAATATATCCAACTTATAAATTTCTTTAGGTCTTGGTACTTCTGAATGAGCTTGTATGTTATTGGATATACTAATTCAAACCATGCTCAAACCATTACCTCCCATGCCAGGAAGTGTAAGAAGGTCATTTTCTTTCCCAGGTATAAGCTGCTTTACCCACCTACCTCACTAAGAACTGGCTGGTATCTGATTAGCAGAGAAAAAGGTGTCCTGGAACTGGCTCATATTAGCCTGTGAGAGCACACTATACACATATCTTCCTAGCCCTGCATTCAGTGATATCACATTAGTAACTTGAAATTGGCCATGATAAAAATTTATACCACAGAAATTAACAAATTGGGTCTTTTTTTTTTTAACTCAAAATCTGATTGTTGGTATTGCCTCTTTCCAACGGGCACCAAGCGATAGGCATCTGCCGGGACAACTGGCACAAGTGCTGAAAGACTGGGGGCAAGAGAAGGCTCTACCACAAGAAAGAGAAGTATGAGTTGGGACACCCTGCTGCCAACACTATGATTGGACCCCACTGCGTACACACTGTCCGAGTGCAAGAAGGCAACAAGAAGTATGGGCTTTGAGGCTGGAGTGTTGTACTAGCAAAACAAGGATCATTGATGTTGTCTACAATGCATCCAGTAATGAGCTGGTCCACACCAAGACCCTGGTGAAGAACTGCAGCATGCTCATTGAGAGCACACCATACCAACAGTGGTACAAGTCCCACTACACACCGCCCCTGGGCTGCAAGAAGGGGGCCAAGCTGACTTCTGAGGAGGAAGAAATTTTAAACAAAGACTGATCAAAGAAAATTCAAAAGAAATACGATGAAAGGAAGAAAAATGCTAAAATCAACACTCTTCTGGAAGAGCAGTCAGGGCAAGCTTCTTGCCTGCATTGCATTAAGATCAGGACAGTGTAGCCGAGCAGATGGTTATGTGCTAGAAGGCAAGAAGCTGGAGTTCTATTTGAGGAAAATCAAAGCCGGGAAAGGTAAATGAGTCCTCCTCCCTTCTGTCTTAGCTCATGTAATACAGGTGTTTATTATTCTATTCCACCCTTAAAAAAATCTGATTGTTAAACATTTACTCACTTGTGAATGATCTGAGGAAATGTGTATTCTGTTAATTTTGTTGGGTCCTTTTCATACTAATGTAGAATGAGCTTATGACCCTTCACTGGGTGAGCTCCATTATCATCTACATCTTTAGATGCCTAAAATTCTCAGAAAGAAACAATTCATCCCATAATTCTCAGTTACGTTCAGAGTAGGTTCTCTTCTTATTCATTTCTACAATATATTTCATTCTTAAACTCATAAACTTCTTCATTACTGTAATTTATTCTAACATGTTACTGATTACTACATTCACCATTATTTTACATACCATTAAGGAGAAAAAAACATTATCAATAAAATTGATATACCATCAACTGTAAGATGCATTCTGATACCAGAAATATGAAAATCTAAAAAGTTTTCACATTAAAAATTGTTGAGAAATAGTCATTTCTATTTTGCTTACTGTTGTTTTCCCTTTTAGAATCTTAGTTCAACATTTCCTTTAACCTTGACATGCTACTCCTAGATCTCCCATCTTAGTGCTTTCCCCATTGTATATTTATATTTAGAAATATCTTTATCAGTACAGACTACAAATAACAACTAATTCTACTAATATAATTATAATAGGAAAAATAACAATCTGGAAAAAGAAATGGAGAATAATTTTAAAAAATGATATAGCATCAGAATTTGGTAAGGTAAGAGAAAGGAGCATCAGTGAAGAAGCAACAGGGGGAGGATTCCTTTATAAGTGGAAAGAGATTATGGAATAATAGAGGCAAAAAAAGTTTACAGGAAAAAGGGCCTCATGAGCATATACTACTACAAAGCTTGCTTTAATTTTTTGGTATGAAATGGTTTGTTACTGGGATGAACATTCATACCTTCTTCCCAAATGTTATCAGTGCTTTGATAAGATATGAATATGACTGAATATGACTAACAAATATATCTTAAGCACTTCTGACTTTTCTTCTAATAGCATTACCAAGAGAAATAAATATACTGTCTTTTTAAATCACCTACATCAAACAATAATTTTGAGGTACTTCTTTTAAGAACATTCTTAAAGCACTTGAAAATGATTTTACTTACTCTCCATCCACTTCTGGTCTTTTACATACACAATGAAACTTGCCACCAAAATCTATGTAAAGATCATTCTCCACAACATGAAAGATCCGTCCAATGACCAATTTATCCTTGGCAGGCCCCATCTGTGTCAGAGGAGAGTGTCTCAGCATGGATGCGAAGGATTCCACATTTTTCTGAGACTCCTAAATATGAAAAGAGATATTTATATACATAAGATTCAACATGAGACACAATATGGCAAGTATAATGAAGTCTTACAGGGAGATTTTTAAAAGCCAACTTGTTCTACATTTACATTTTGTAGCAATAATAGATGAATATAAGTGAATTTTTGCTTTTAAAAGCTAGTTATTCTGCTGCCCTGCAGCAGAATAAAATAGACATTATTATTGCTGTATGTACATAGGTGACTGTATGACCAATGTGATTCTGCAACCTGTACAATCAGAAAAATGAGAAATTATACCCCATTTGATTCAAATGTATGAATTGTCAAGATCATTGTACTGTCATGTGTAACTAATAAAAATAAAATAAAATAAAGATGTTGTGTCCACCGGAGGGTGGGGGGGGAAGCTAGTTATGCTCTTCAACTTGCTCTTCTTCCTTTACCTTCCTGAAGATGAACCAGTGAAAAGTAGACACCTACACTTGGCAGGTGATGGAGGGATGAGGTGAGCCAGTGTGAGTCTCAAAAGCCCCGGCAGGTAAACAACAGAGGGGAGTCTGCATACCAAGTATCCTAGAATAGGGGCCTGGGGTGTATAAGAATCTAAAGGTGAGTAGGGCATCCAAAGAGACCATTGACTATTCCTAGTACTGACATCTGATTCAAGTTTGGTGAGAAGGACTATGTATTTAGTACAAATTCAAATATATATTCAGATAAAAACACCTAAGGACCCTTTATCACAATTATCAGTCTGAACATGAGTTCTTGTACTAATTTAAATGACTTGAGTTTAATTTCTTTCTTTTTCAAAAGGTAAAATCCCACAGGAAAAATAGCTTTTTCAACTATTTTGTGCTGCTCACTTTCTAGGAGTGTTTTTTGCAGACACAATTCACTTGAGGGATGGCTGAACATATAATGTAACCTGATTACTCCTTTTTTTTTTCTTATAATTTTTTTTCCAAACACATGCTTTTATAGGAACCCATGAACACAGAGATGTATTTCTACTCATCTTTAATTTTCACAAAGAATGATGTGTGCATGCTTTGGCACAAACTAAGGGAAGTACTATGTTTCTATTTGTGAGACTTAATCACAGAAGAACATTAACAATTTGATCCGGCTACCTACATCCTGTATTTGGAGTGACTTTTTACATTTGTTATTCAAGGAAAATTACTAAGTACCATTGCATATTTACTTTTTAAACTACACAACTATAAATATGACTTAATTTTAGAGCATGTATTACTCCAAGGATTACAAACTCAAATGCCAGGCCACATAGGAGCTAGATATACAGAAGAATATGTACCCAGCCTAAAAGGTGCAGCCACTATTCAATTGCACCTGTGGCTACAATTCAAGTCCAGTTATTGCCACGTTTTAATTATCCAAGAAGCCCCAAATCCATACATTAATATAAAATTTCCAATCTTAAAATACTTATACATTGAAAAATAAAAATTTTCCACTTTACAAATCAGGCAAAACACACTCAGGTATTGAATTTGGCTCATGGACCATGAGTTTATGGCCTCTGCCTCAGGAAAAAGAAAGCCAAAACATCTAGTTGGTTCTTTGAAAAGATAAACAATAAACTCCTAGCCAAAACAAAATAAAGAGAGAATACCCAACTCAACAAAATTAGAGAAGAAAAAGGAGATATCACCAAACATTGAAACACAGAGTATCATCAAGGACTATTTTTGAAAACTCATAATAAACTGAAAAATGTAGAAGACATTAATAAATTGAGTATTCTTGACTATTTAAGAAGATTCTGAGATCTTTAGTAAATCTATTGTGAAATACCTGTTTCATCATAAACTTTATAAAACTAGGAATAATGATTTTTTAAGACAACTTTAAATTCAAGGGGAAGGTTAGGGATGTAGCTCAGTAGTAGAGCACTTGCCCAGCATATGAAGCCCTAGGTTCAATCCCCAAAACCACAAAAAATAAAATAACTTGGAAATAACTTGTTATTGCTTTCTGTTCAATTACTTTTGCTTTTACTTCATCACATTTTACAATGAAGGCAAAAGCATTTCCAGTGAGTGAAATGATTTTACTACAAGCATAATACTTGTTAGTTAACAACTAAATTTGTTTTTAAACTGTACATTCATTATTGCTCACTGATTTTTGGAAACTATCTAACAATCAGACAAAGCTCTCCTTCAAAAATCATAATGTGGAACCATCTTTGAATTCCTAGGGTACAAGCCCAGCTGTACACATTTACTTGTCAGGTGACTTCTAAAAATAATAAATGTAGCAACTCCCACAATACATGTTGACAACAGGAAGTCCTGTTTATTAGGTGTCTAAAAAAACATTGTTAGCTCCTCTCCTGTGGATGCAAACTCCAAAGTGGTAGGTATACCTAATCTACTGTTGGGTCTGTATCATAACCTACATCCAGGTTATGGAAAATGTTACCAAAAAAGTTGTCTCAGAAGTAAAGCAGGTAACCAGAGTTGATTGTTTCCTTTAAAAATTGGTATAGAGCTCAGATTTCCTGTTATTCTGCTATAGTTTTCTCACTTTGAAGTTGAACAGGAATGTTTAGATAGGAAGAGGAAAGGTACAGGGATTACAGATACAAGAAACGGTACGGCTTTTAATCACTCATTCATCAAACATACATTGAGTGGTGAGCACTTGCCTCTCTTCTGGGCCTTGTTTGTAAATATGTGCAATGGTAGGGGAACAGAGTTAAACCAGCATTACTACAGAGCATAGGATCCAAATAGTTGCTGAAAGTAATCACTACTCATACTTCAATTGTAAAGAGTCTTTTATTCCAGGCTGAGTTAAAAATCCTATAAGAAATGGGGAGTCAAAAGAGGTTTGTCACCAATGGGGTGACAGCACTTATCCTTTGTTTTAAAAAGAAAGCCTTGGCTGGTAGCAGTAGTGCAAACCTGTAATCCCAGCAGGTCAGGAGTCTGAGGCAGGAGTCTCACAAGTTCAAGGCCAGTCAGTGACTTACCAAGATCCTCAGCAACTTAGTGAGATGCTATTTCTAAACAGAATATAAAAAAGGGCTGGGGACGTGGCTCAGTGGTAGAGCCCCTGTGGGTTCAATCCCCAGAACCTTTGGCAACAGCATGAAAGGTGGATTTGAGGGAGGAAAAGAAAAATTGGAAAGAGGGTCAATGTTGAGAAGCTTCTCGATCCTTCAATTAGCTAGGATAGAGATGATAAAGGGCCTTTATTGAACCCAGCTGTGGCCACAGGAAAACAAAAGAATGGAAACAGAGATATTTTCCAAATAGTAAAACAAGGACTTGATATTCAATTGAGGAGTATTAAGAAATGGGGTGGGGTGCAGCAGAGTAAGAGAGTAAGTTTACTTGTTATATATTAGGGTTTTTACATAAACCTATATAAGATTTTAGGGAACACGGACTATCTGGTAGATAGTTTAAGAAAACACGATAGGGTTGGGAATGTAGCTCAGTGAAAGAGTCCTTGCCTAGCATTCACTAAACCCTGGGTTCAATCCTCAGCATTGAAAAAAAAAAAAAAAAACAACCCATCAGTGTACATATTTCTACAGATATTTATGTATGTTTAGTGATATTATATAGATATTAATCCCTCTAAGGAAATATGCCGTATGCTAACTGCAATAATTTATGTATAGAACTATTTTCTTCTTTATATTATTGATTACAGAAAATCTAGACTACAAAAGAATATGTATTACTTTATTACGTTAAGTGTACATACATATTATAACTATCATGCATATGAAGGCACATACTATACGGGTTGTAATCAGAGATTATTAGCACTAAAAGAAACATGAGACACTGCCCAATCCAACTAATGAATACAAAGACCATACCTGTTATTCAACAAAATTGTCACAAGATACAGAAAGTAGACAGAGACATCATACAAAAACTTAAAATGAAGGATATAGTATGGCAGAATAACAGAAATTCTAGGAAATTCAAATCCTGTTAGACTAAAGTAGTCGATAAATATATTTTTTAAAAAAATAATCTTGAGGGGATGTGGCACAGCACTTGCCTAGCATGTGGCCAATCTATCATCTATCCTGAAGAATTTCACGAAGATGTGGGGTTAGTGACACCAGGAATAATAGAAGGCTACGATGAGAAGACCAGATGAAAACAAGAGAAATAATTTCATTAAAAACAGAGGTAGTACAGCCAATCTCTGTTAAGCACAAAATATCTCAAGTGCACAGTACCTGGTAAGCAGGCATTTATTGCTCTAGCAAAAATAAATATCTTCCCTCTTCTCTAAAAAAATTTTTGAACAAATTGTCCAAAGGAGAACTAAGTTTGGGATATTCTATTATGCAATAATAGATAACATTAATAAACAATAAAGAATTAAAACGACAGCTGTGCAGTTGTTAGTGAGGACTAGCACTGGAGGCTCCTGAAGGCAGGCTCTGAAGTCCAGCCACATGCTTCACATCTGGGCTCTACCACTGAGCAGCCCTGTGGATGAAGCAATGCACTGTGCTTCTGTGCTGCTCCACAAGGTATCGCCTTATACACTGTGACTAATAATTACAGTACACAGAGTTTAGTGTTGCTGTGAGGATGAAATAGATGCATGGCCACATGTAAGCCACTTGAATGATGTCTAAAGGAAGCAGCCCCCCAAATTTAGCTTTTTAAAAAATTAGTCAAATCTTTCTAGAATTAGCCACCATAAAATTTCATTGATTAACCTAATATTTTTCAAAGGGGATAATTTTTGCCCCACGGGAGACATCTGGCAATGTTTGGAAATATGTTTGATTGTTATGACTGGAGATGCTACTGCAGAGAGGCCAGGGTGCCACTAAAAATCCAACAGTGCACACAACAGCTTCCCACAACAAAGAATTATCTGATCCAGCTGTCACTAATATCAAGGTTAAAATTCCTGGACTAAGAGAACCAGCAGCAAACAGCAGAACAATTTAAGTTACATTAAGGGAGTTCTAGGGTGGCAGGCAAGGCAAAAAAGATT